ATTCGGCCAATCACAACGCACTGGATAGCTGACCAATCACAGCACACCTCGCTTTTCAGACCGATGAGCTTTGTAAGAATCGACGCGTTTCAAAAAGGTGGGGCATAGAGGAGAAACAATAATGTACAGTATGTGGAAAATAATGTGTTTTTTTTTTTACTTTAAACCGCATAAACACATTTCATTACACCAAATACACAAAATAATGTTCTTTATAGCAGCATCATATGACCCCTTTAATAATAAACCTAGATACGTCTAGAGGCATCAGAAAGACACATTTCTACACTAGCACTAATGTTTTAGCGCCTCAAAGAGTTTCCAGAAACAACATTATTTAAGCTGAATGTTCAACCGCATCTCTGGATTGTTAACTTCAGTCTCACTTCTTGGAGTTATTTCTCTCTCTTGTTGCTCATTGAGCAAGTGTGTGTAAAGCAGCTCAGGACTGAAAAGACTACAGAAGAGGCAGAAATGGTGTGAAATGTTGATAAATCCTGCGACAGACGGCTAAAGCCCAATTTATACTTACGCCGTAGGCTGTGCGCTAAGTTAAGTTAACGGTTTAAACACTCACAAACTAACAGTTTAGTTGACTTTAACTTTTAACGGAGCCTTTTAGTTTTGTCGCGTCGCTCGCTGCAAGTTTTTCAGTTAGCGCTCCGCTAGCTAATTAGCACATGCAGCAAGACACAATGCAACCGACTACACAATTAACCTCCAGAAGCATTATACAAAACACACGCGCTTATGTGGTTTTTAATCGCTCTTATAACTATATTCGTCTCTTGTAGCGTCGCTCCTCTGACTGTGAACGCACACACTGCTTAGACTGGTTGCTAACCGAGCTACCAAACATTAAACACACACACCGAGAGTGTGTGTGTGTGTGTGTGTGTGTGAGAGAGAGCGGTACACAGTTATAACAACACACACACAATCGAGAGTCTGGTGTGAGTAACGTGTCAAAGATACAGCAGAAGCAGGGACACGCACCGCACTCACCTGCAGGCTCGGTGTGGTCGCGGCAGGTGAATCAACTCTTCCCCGCTATATCACTCGCCATGAATCTGCACAGAAGAGGAAGTCGAGGCCGCACAGACAACGTGTTGTGGAAAGAGCGAGCATTCAGAGCGGAGACATGAGCGCTGCGCAGACGAGCGCCGCCTACAGGCCAGTGTGTGACCGTGCGGGGCCCTCAGCCCTGGAGCCACTTGGGCCCTGAGCCTGAGCTCATTTCCTTTCTTCAAGCATCAGATTTATTCCGAGACTGCTATGTAGGGGATGGAGAATTTGCATTACGTGTCACGTGATCATATACAGTCAAACCAAAAATGATTCAGACACCCGATATCATTTTTGATATCTTTTTACTAGTGCTGTCAAAACGATTAATCGCATCCAAAATAAGTTTTTGTTTACATAATATGTGTGTGTAGCCTACTGTGTATATTTATTATGTATATATAAATACCAGTGTTGGGGGTAGCGCATTACAAGTAACGCGAGTTACGTAATCAGATTACTTTTTTCAAGTAACTAGTAAAGTAACGCATTACTTTTTAATTTACAAGAGAATATCTGAGTTACTTTTCCCCCCCCCAATTTATTGCTCATGCATGTATATATTTAAGAAAAATATGTAATGTTTATATATTATATATGATGTAAATTATATGAATATAAATATGTACATGTAAATATTTTCAAAATACATGCTGTATGTGTGTGTATTTATTTATACATAATAAATATACACAATACACACACATGTGTAAACAAAACCTTTTATTTGGGATGCAGCACTACTTTTTACTAGTGGGTGCAGGACACTATCCCCCGGCTTCACAGTCTCAGTAATTCTGAGCTTTAACTGAAAGAAACTGCCTGCACTGCCTGATCTTAAAATATATCAGTGCCTTTGTTTTGACACAAATTGAAAACCTAGTGGAGAATACCTTTTGATTTGTTGCAGATGTAATGGATAATTCAGTTGTCTTATATAACAAAATGACAGTGGTACACAAGAATAACAATAGAAACACTAATATTACGGAGGAACTCTGCAGCTAAATCACACTACACATGCATGGTCTGTGTGAAGAGCAGCTTTTCTGAAGGCAAAGGCTATTCGAATCCCCTTTACATCCGTGATACTAATATATTTGAGGTGTTTCTGTCAGTTTCTTTGTCTGCCGTCTATGTGTGTTAGATGGTTGCTTCCCCCATGCATGCAAAAACGTCATAACAGAGATCATTGTTGTGAAAGTGTTTGAGCAAAATTTAATACTTATACTTTCATGTTATTATCATCCACCATAAGTACACTCATTATTTTATGCAATAGTATTTTCAGTACTTTACCTTTATGCATGATCATAGTCGTCAATGTTCATAATTTATATTCACATTTTCATCTGCATCATTATACAATGAAGTTAAAGTTGACCTTTTATCACTCAAAAGACAGTGGAACTGAGAGGATATCATTCACATTTTCATGCCGTGCTCTTTGATTTATCTTCTGTTATGAATCGTTTCAGTCCTGGCACACACACTCTCTCTGATTCCTCTTTCTATTCCATCTTTATTATTTTGGAAAAGAAATAAAGAGCGATGAATCTAGAAGAATAATAATTTAACATTGCAGGGAAAAAAAACACAACCAATAAATTACTCCATTGAACCCACATCAAGCATTGCTAGTTACTTCTCTGTGAGAGACAGCTGTAGTATCCTCTCCAGCTCTTCCTCCTCTTCCCTCCTCTTCCTTTAGGGAACAAAAAGAAGAGTGAGACTGGCTGATACAAATGAGGAAATACATAAACTCTGTTCCACAGTTTCTATATGAATTTAAGATTTTCTGTACTAAACCCATGTGGTATGTGGAAAATTCCTCACATTAAGTCGCTCCATTGAAAATGTAAAGAACAAAATAATAATAGGTGTTAATGTTTTTGTGACTGGAATAGTTTCTGTAAGTAGAAAAGAAACAACAAATTATTCTTTTGGATGAAAAATGTGTCATAAATGTGCTTGTCATGTTTTATATACTGTAGTGCAACAAAACAAAAAATAAATAAATCTTGGATGAAAAAATGTGTAGTACATGTGCTTGGCAGTTTGTATATAGTGTAACAAAGCAAAACTGAAACCGAAACAAAACAAAACAATTCTGTCCTGGATGAAAAAAATGTGTTTGTCAAGTTGTATATAGTGCAACAAAACAAAACAAAACTACAATAAACTTTTTTTTTAAAAATGTATAGTAAATGTGCTTGTCATGTTGTTTATAGCACAACAAAACAAAACAAAAATGAATTTCACTTTGATGAAAAATGTGTAGTTAATGTGCTTACCAGGTTGTATATAAAAAAACAAACATAAAACAGAGAAAAAAAAAAACAACAAACAAAAATTTTTCTCTTAGATAAAAAAAACCCTACCACGACAGAACAAAGAAAGAAAAATGCTGGCGAACTATAGCGGAAGCGCTTCAGCAATGTTTACACTCTTGTTTTCTGAAGTCAGTCGCTAGTTCCGCCTTCTCCATGACATCACGTGCGTCGTTAAAGACGGCACGCTATGAATGGTCGGGAAGCAACGTGTAGTCTGACATGTTTCTTATCCATGATACGACAAGATTTTAGGAGTCAAAATCGTGTAATCTGACACAGTGACTATCGTGACCGACAAAAATATAGTGTAGTCTGAACCCGGTATAAAGGGAGCACATCTTATAAGATCAGATATCTGTCAATCTGCTAAGCAGAAAATCCTTCAGCATGGTTTGTCAGTCATCTCTCCTTACTCTCGACCCATGATCAGACTCCTACAGCTTGTGTTGGATGCAGGGTAGCCAAGAACGTGTTTTTTTCCCCATGTAATTGGGCTACTGTTGCCATGGGCTGATTTTCTCCCATGGGTTAAAGGTTTGAAATATTGCATAAATTACATTTGACTGAAATGCTTGTAACATTGAAAAATTTTGCATTCTACCCATGATAAACTGTGATCAATCTGCATAACAGTGAACAGTGACTGTATGTATTTTAGGTATGGAAATTACATATTTAGAGTTTTGATATTATATAGACCCCCCCCCCCCCCCTTAACCTGCCCCCACTGTCCTCTTTTTGGAAAACTGAAATATGGTCAGCACAACAAAACAAAACAAAAATAAAACAAAAAACAACAACAACAAACAAAACAAAATGTGTTCATAGAGCAACAAAATGAAACAAATGAAAAAAATACAAATAATAATTTCTCTTGGATGAAAATGTGTAATAAATGTGCTTGTCAGGTTGTATTTAGTGCAGCAAAACGAAAATATGAAACAAAAAACAAATCCAAATTTTAACCTGGATGAAAAAATGTGCAGTAAATGTGCTTGCCAGATATAGTGCAACGAAATGAAACAAACAAATAAAAAAAAATACTGAAAAATAAAATAAAAAATTGTGTACTTAATGTGCTTGTCAGGTTGTATTTAGCGCAACAAAGCAAAACAAAAACTGAAACAAAAAACTTTTTTTCTTGGATGAAAAATGTGCAGCAAATGTGCTTGTCAGATTGTTTATAACAACAAAAAAACAAAAACAAAAACAAAAGAAAACAACATTTTCTCTTTGATTAAAAATATGTAGTAGCCTAGTAAATGTCAGGTTGTATATTAGTGCAACAAAAGAAAACAATAATTTATTTTTTTCTTGGATAAAAAAATGTATAGTAAATGTGCTTGTCATGTTTATAGCACAATGAAGCAAAACTAAAAACAAATGAAAAATGTGCAGTCAATGTGCTTATCAGATTGTATATAGTGCTACAAAAATAAAACAATTTAAAAAACCACAAACAAAAAACTTTTTTTCAAAAAGGCAAAGAAAACAAAAAATAATTATCTTGGATGAAAAATATGTAATAAATGTGCTTGTCATGTTGTTTATAGCACAACAAAAAACAAAAATGAAACAAAAAACAAAATAGAAAAACAAACAAAAAAAATTATCTGATAAAAATGTTTAGTAAATGTGCTTATCAGGTTGTATATAGAAACAAAACAAAAAACAAAATTTCCTCTTGGATGCATGCAACACTGTCTTAGATTTAAGCCATAAAGATATTTTAAGGCAGCATAAATTTGCAGTCAGCTGTTTGCTACAGGCTTTGTGTCAAAAGCCAATGATGCCTTGAAAGCCTGTCTAGATTTGAGCTCAGTAGGTTTGGGAACAGAGCTTATGTTTTTGGATCCTGTCGTTTCTTGCTCCTCTGTCATTCGTACCTGTCTAACTCCTCCTGTTCTCTGCAGGAAAGCTCCATCGCCATGCGTAGCTGTTCATCAAAACTGGTGGCCACAGCAAACGCTCCCGGTGCCCGAGGCTCGGTCAGTGAGCTGTAACACGGAGGTGAGATGAGTGCGGGATCAGACGGGGATAGCGGCTGGCCAGCATCGGACTCGACACTCTCCCCTCCAGCCAGCGACAAAGATTCCTGAATCGCCCTGTCAGACACACAATCACATTTCAAACAGCTGAACAATTGATATGCTCACACTCAACACTCGATACACACACACACACACCTCTCAAGCTGAGAGTCCTCCTCATAAAGCGGAGGCTGAGAATCTGGACGAGTGTTCGTGAGAGCCTCCCATATGGTCACCTAGAGAAACGCACAGGAAAAGAAAGAAATGAGGGAGTGGGTGGAAAGCTGTGGAGGGACTGATGAAAAGTTGATGTCTGCTAATTGTTTAGTATTGACTAGAGCTTCACAATTACTCATAATAAAGACTATGAAAAAGGTTTAATCATGAGGAGTAAAGTATCTGTTTAGATGTGGGGCCAGACGTATAAACATAGCCATGATGTTAACCCTGTGTCTTAAATTAATAACTAGTACAGTATAACCAGCTAAAAATTTAGATGACTTAGACAAGTCTTAGCAGTTTATGCAACCGTGTTTTTTTGCAACACTGAAACTAATCACAGAAATGTCTGCTGTGCATATTAATGATTTTTAAAATTAAATTAAAGTAGTATATTTTTTCGGTATTTATCCTGAACAGGTTGAATATGTGGTTGCATTCTTGGTTATAGCACAAAAAAGCAGATGGATGTTGAATAAAAGATTCACAAGTTTGTTATATAATGTTTTAGTGGCTGGTTTATG